AAAACTAATACTAAAAACCAAAAAAGGATGAAAACTTATTACACATGCTGCTCTGACAGTTGACATGCCAGACAAAGGATAATAAAATTCAGGATGCCTAGATTCCAGTCTATGAATTATTAAGTCGCATCTGTAATGTATTCTACAATGTTAGAAATGCTTGAATGGCTCGCTGATACTGTAGGATGACTGAAAATCCAAACAAAGACCCTGGAAAAAAAACAGTGCAGGGAGATTTTATTTGCAAAGTGATGTGAAATCCATAGATATCACATGTCACAAGATGAAAAAAACAACACACATTATATTTTCATTTTGTACTGAGGGTAATTTGACCATTACTGGGTCAAAACAGGAGCATGTCTTCCAAATGTCATCTCATTACAAATGCTGCAAGCCACGTTGTTACTATTATAAACTTCAAGTGCAGATCAAAAAACCAAAAACTTAACTTCTGCCTTGTTTTTGCTTGTTTGTCTTTTGCAATGATGAAAAATATCAGATTCTGATGCCGAAAAAAAGCATTTTTCTTCCTTCCTGAGAATCTCAGCAAGTTAGTGTCGTAATGACGTCACAGAAATGTGATTTTTTAATATGACTGGATTTATTTGGGATGGTAAAGTGCACGACCACATCTACATCTTCCACCACATGGGCAGCGTTTTTTTCATTTCAAGACTCATAAAGTTGGTTCTCATTGCAATCTGCCCAGCACTGAGACACACACACAAACAGACACACACTTTCTCTGAGTGCCCAGTTATGTAACTCCCACTCGGTACATGCAAATCCACCAACACAAGTGACTAGCAACCTTTCCAGAGTCGTCACCATGGAGACTGTGCAGATAATGTTCATGGACTTCTGGGCCATAATGTGGGTGTGTATTGTCAACACAGCAAAGCAGTTGTAATGCTCGGCCCGGTCATGTTAAGCTGAAGCTGGTCTGTCTAGACCTTTTTCTCCAGAAGCAAGAAAGGTCTTTTATTCCTGCTATAGTCGAACAGGTGCTGGTTCATGTTAGAATCTGATATTTTCTGCATGTGATGCCAGGGCTCTGGTTGCTTCCATTGAAACGGCCTTGATGTAGCTCAATGGGCTACAGTCAGCTGGGTTTTGCATTGGTACAGTATGGAGAGAGTTCAAGCCAGAGAGCAAATGACTAAAGGGGAGGGGTTTATGTGACAGCTGAGGAATGTCTGCTCTCCTCTGGTTTTGCCATGGTTTCTAGCGACTGTCATTTGAAGAATGCACAGCCTAGAACGACAGGCCTTGGAATGCTACCCCTCTGAGACCAGTTTAGCCGAAGGGATCTGGAATCTCAACATGTCCACTGGACTACTCATTCATTTGAGCATCCACTACACTAAGCCGCTGAGACACTGTCGCCTGTGTTTGGGTCGATTACGTCACAAAACAAGTAATTATCGATAATACAAAAATTGTACATTGTGATTGATGATGGGTTTTGGATGGACTGTCTCACACCAACCCTGCTTCAAAAAAACAAAAAAGGGCCAAAGATTTTTACAATTTTTAAACGTCTACACTAATGATTAGTGTAGACGTTTGTATATGTATGTTTGTATGTTTCTAAGTCGTCATTTCACATCATCTAAAGAGAACTGAAAGAATCTCTGACTTTGGACACAATTCCCTTAAATACAGGACTATGTCAGAAGTCCATTATAAAGCAGAGCTGCAGACCCTGAGTCATATCCAAACTTAGAATCCTCTTCTCAAACACAGTTAGGGAGAACTTGTGGTGGAGGTATTTATAACCCTGAACTGGTCAGTAGCGATGGGAGAGCTAGCACTGCACACAGTGAGGCCTCATGTGACAACAAAACACATCACAACAAAAAAAGCAGAGGTAAGTTACTCATTAAACGGGACACTGCAGTACAGTCGAAGACTAAATGGCCAAAATTACAATTCCACGTGATGCTATAAGTAATCGAGAGGCTTGATGGAAATGATGAGTTACTGTGGTTCAGAATCACGTAAGTTTTATACCAAGAGGACCAAAGAATTGTTTTTTGTTTTTTGTTTTTTTGTGAAAAATGGAAAAGAGTTTTACAATATCAACCTCTTGGTTATCTGTTTTAATGCAACTTGAAGAATATCTGAAAAGCGCAACTGTGGTTAAATACAATTATTACGTTTTCTGAAGAAGGCCAGCTTAAATCTTAAATATCTTCTTTTGCTCATGTCAGATACCAACATATAGTGTTTAGTTTATTCAGCAAAACTTTAGTTGTACTGGTGACAACAGCAGACAGATTGTTAAAGCAACGTTCAAAACAGATTTAGGAGTACCGAATTCCAAATTGTTTGTGAAAAAGCACAACCTATTTTTTTTTACAATATCATAAATAAACAAGAATCAGACAACCAAGACAAGAACACAGAAAGCAGGTGAGAAAAGAAACTCGTAGCTGTATTAGCTTCATCGCCAATATCACTGGCAAATATCACTGTGATTAACACATAAGATCTTCAACAAAAAAAAACCATAAAAGTCATAACATGCCAATAAATAGGAATCGCATGCTGTTTAATATATACACACACTCAAAGCAGCCTCTCATCCTGAGATGGTCAGGTCTAAGGATCAGCACTGCAAATTCTTCCGTCCCCTTTCGTCTCATCCTGTACAACAGCCCAAAAAGAGGCAACTTTCCACCCAATGAGCGTGAATCGTCCCCTTTCGTCTCATCCGTCTCTTTCGTCTCATGGAAAGTTGCCCAAAAAAAGGCAACTTTCCACCCAATGAGCGTGAACAGCGGGGGAGTTCAGTGGATATGGTAATTCCAGTTTAATTTCTACATGTTAGTTTAATGCTGGCTTCATTAAACACATAGAAAACAAAAAAGGATATCACCTTATGAGGAAGTTGAATATGCAAGTCAGGAAAAACTGCTTTTAAAACTTTTACTAGCATGTAGCAAATAGTACCATGTAGCAAGGTGTTGTAAACTAAAGAACGCAGTCCTGCAGAGATGAGACACGAGGGCATGAGTAATGAGGTGACATCACACAAGATCTATGCAAGCCCTAAACATTTTATGACAGGATTCTCCAGTTTGAACTTGGGCTAATCTTTAGCACTGTTTAGGCAAACGCTGAAAGACTGAGATGTTGTTCATGAAATAAATCGCACTGGAAATTTGTGGGTGCCATATGGATAGGTCATTGAGTTTGAATTTTTAAAAACATGTTTTACCACTTGACAGTTCCTGATTATGGTACCACTGAGGCCTGTCATTAAATTCATTTTCACTTTTTTATTAGGTAGGTCAAATAAGAACCAGATACCAAACCAATCATGAGAGGACAATATATACAATGTATGAGTATATATAACTTAAAAAATGCTTAAAAGCAGGAGCAATTATATTGTACTATTGATTGTATTGAATTTTTCAAAGTGGAGAATGGAATGAAGGCGCTACGGTCTGTTGCAGAGGACTACACCACTCATCTGCAGCAGAAAACTGTCAAACTATCATTTGAGCTGGAACTTGACTGAAAATATCTTTTAAAACAAAAAGGTAATCTGAGGTTTTACAAATAAACAGAGAAGGACTGACCACAGAACAACACAAATGGTACATCACACTCAGGTTCCTATTTGACAATTTAGCCTTCAAGTGCACTTTTTTTTTTGTCATATTGACACCGAATTTACATTTATGAACCTGTATCTATATCTCGCATCATTTTGCACAGAAATAGACCTGAATAGAAGAAGTAGTAACTCAATTCACGTATACAGTTACACAACCAAAGGTACTTCAAAATCCAGTGTTCTTCCATAGACAACATAGCTCTATCCAGTGTAATACAAAGTCTACGTACAGTATACATTATAGCATGTAATTTCAGCATTCAACATGTTTAGTTTAAAAGGGCATTAACTGCCTACGGAAAGTCAGCACGGGCTGCCATTTTCATTATTTTAGCTGTGGAACTCGCAGACTGGTGTACGTAGCCAAGTTGATAGCGGGGAACGTTCAAAACAACTACCTATCTAGTGAAACAAAAATAAAACTTCTGGGTCACACGTATGCTCTTATAAAACCACGAGAAGCGAAAAGTATTATCTCTGGGTCTGACATTTACACGCTGACGTCGTTTTCTGAGCTACGCTAAAAGAATGAATTAACTTTAGCCTCCAAAACAGCTAACTATGCTTAACATGCTAACGCAGTGCTCGAAACATTTAACTCGTTAACATAGTCACTGGAGCTTTTTCCATTTATAACAGCTTGGTCAATGGATGAACCAGTAAAAATACAAGTTGTATGTATTACATGAATATCACATTAACATTGGTAAAGGCCTTCCAAATACGCGTTAGCCCGAACCTCAATGACGTTGTAGCGGACAGAGGCTAAGCATTAGCAGTTAGCATACACTTCCTCTCCAGAGAGTAGCCTCAGCCATTGAGCTGAGCTTTTTATCAACAAGACCACTTTTCTTAACTAGCCAGGTATTAGCCATTGGGTATGGAATTGATTCCAATCATTGAAGACATTGATGCTGACACATAGCTCCATCACAGCCAATTAAATCACTTAGATCTTACATATTAGAATCTCAGGGACACCGGTAACGCATTTTTAATCAAATAAATTAAAACAGACTTGAAATAGCACAGCAATTACACAGGACCCATATGTAGACACCCTGATGCAAAAATTAAATATAAAAAACATTGAATTACGCACTAATAGCTGCACAGTTGGCTCTGTTTTGATGGCAGATATTGTTTTACGTGAAGTAAGAGAGAAGCCTTAAAAAGAAGGACGCTTCGAAAAAGGAAAGGTAGCACTGAGTAGGTAAACAACGGGATGAGAATGGCTTCCATTTGACAGGTGTTCCAGACACACACACACATACACAGACAGAGCAGTTGTTAGCAGCAAAACGCAGACATTTGCTGTTTACCAGGACAGAGTGCTAACTAATTCCAACTACTGAGCACCGACACCAACCTGGTGGAGGGCGGTGAGACCGTCTACATTGGCGTAGTTGATGTCAGCGCCCCGCTCGAGCATTCGCAGCACCTCCTCGGTGTCGCCGCTGGAGCAGGCGGCCAGGAACACGGCGCCATCGTCGAACTTCACCTTCGTCTTCTTTTTCTTCAGAACCGGTGGCTCTAGGTCTGTTTCCGAGCCCAGCCACCGCTTCAGCTGCTCGTTCCGCTTCTGCTTGGCGTCCGCCATCTTCATCCCCCTCCTGTCTCGGGCTTCTTATCTTTCTCCGAGAGAGGATATACTTTATAGTACCACTATCCCACAGCGCACTGGGGCGTGGGAAGGGAGGGCAATGGAGAGGAGGGGGAGAGAGAGAGAGCCTAAACCAGAGAGCGAGAGAGAGAGAGAAAGAGAGAGCGGTGTTTGTGTGATCTCGCGAGATCTGAGACCGAAGAGCTGCAGTATAACGTCATCATCAGCAGATTAAGAGTGAAGAGTAAGAGAGCGTGAGCAGGGTAAACCCTTTACGACTGGGTTAACCAAATACGACCAGAGTGCATGAACAGATTACATAAAACCATCAGCTGGATAATGAACAATTTTACCATGACACACACAATCTCTCCCTCTCTCTATCTCTATATATACTACGAAGTTCAAAGTTCACCCATTTTAAAAGTACACAGGAGGCAAAACTGTTTCTATAAATAAACCACAGTAATACTCCTCCTCATCTTTATTGGATCACAGCAACTATATGGTGTAATTTGCAGACCATAGACGGTGGATAAGAACGGTGCACGGATACATTTAAGGGCAGTAGTTGCAGTGTCAGAACAACAATAGAAGTGTTTTGTTTTTTTCAAAAGTGACATTAAATTGTAAGATATTTACCCACATGGTAACACATTTTTATTGTCATTAGGTGTGTAGTATAACACAGAGGCATTACAAGCAATTTAATTCATCCTGAACATTGTCACCACTTTATCAATAAAATTTAAACAAACAAGGGATAAAGTATATAATAAAAATGAACAATGCAAAGGGATTTAGATTATTCTAAAATGGCAAAAAAAGGTGGTGATGATAAGGTATACATTTCTACCTTAAAAAAAAGTGATTGAAATAAGTACAATAAAAATTGTAAACCCACCCAACCTTACTCTTCTTTAGTAACCCATTGGTTGTAAAACAAAATGTTTACATCTTAATACAGCTAACATTACATTGATGCAAGGTAATTCCAATTTAGAAGTGATGCCAAACCAGTAATTAAACTTTTGTCTTATTAATGTATGTATTATTGTATATACTAGACCAAGTCAAATGCACTTTATGTGTAACTTTTTCATTGTAATACACATTATTTTGTTGACTAATAACACACACTAACACACCACATCTTGCCTTGGCCTTTTTTTTCTTGCCCTATGTTACTTTTGCATTTCTTGCCTTGGCCTTTTTTTTTCTTGCCCTATGTTACTTTTGCATCATAATTTAGAAACTCGTGTCACCATATTGATTTAAAAAAATACATTGAGGTTCATAGGCAGCACAAACATTTCCATACTATACAAAATACACAGACTCACGGTGGTCGTCAGTTGACGTAAAGATGACGTTGTCTTTCCATACAGTACTGTAAGATAATGACATTATTTTCGTGTTTAAAGACACTCAAATTAAGTAAACACCACTGTTTGTATTTGATTAAAACCACCCACCACTGAACCTGACGTTGACATCCTGAATAACAAGCCGTTCAAGCACAATCCTGATCCAAAACATTTATTCAACCATGACCATGAGCCATTGTTTGAACTCTCGAACTCCCCACCCCTTATTCTCCCCATTTTCCTCATTTTTCATGTCACTGACGCTATGTGCTGACACTTCTTAAATACTACGCCGTCTGAAGGAGCAGCAGAGACGACTGAAACACCGGGAAAGAACCAGGAGGTTGAGCCTGATCCGCAGTGTTCCACAAGTGTCATGGGAAATGACCGTGGTTCTACTGAGTCATCAGAATAGTGGAACACCAACGGCGTCAGTGTCAGGAAGCTGTTGGCCGGAGGCTTCGAAGTGCTGATATCTGGAGGCTGTTTGGTTGGTTGGGTGGGGGTGAGGAAGGCATCTGAGCAGAGCCATGTGGACCGCATGTAGCAGAGAAAGTAATGAGTCAGCAATTGAATGCCATTTGATAAAGCTAACGTGTCCAGCCCATCGTAATTTTGTACAAATCTATGGTACATTTTCAGACAACAAAAGGCAAAAAACCAAATTAAACCAAATTAATTCAAAATAGCAAAAATGAGAGGGTGATTTGAAACGTAGCTCATATACTAAATATATACAGTGTATACGCTATGTTTTTATCACAGATTGAACAAATGTGGTCAGAACTTAGCAGAGATTAACTTAAGGAAATATATGTTCAATGAACGAATGTACAATGCAAAACCTACAAGTTAGTTAATAATAAAAATATGTTAAAATTGACCAGAAATACCTGAAAGTTATACAAGAAAGCAGATCAGATTTTAACAAAATAATCCTGACAAAAATACCTAAAATTGAGCTCATATAAAGACCATCTCCACTGTGGTGACAGGGACATGTGCACTTTGGTGTGAAGCTTCTGTGATATGAAGCGGGCCACGGGTCAGATTGAAGTGTCTTGGATGTTACAGATAGGAGAGGTGAAAATCAAAGGTGAGCTTATGCAATGAACTTGCAAAAATTAAAACAAATTACCTTGCAAACCTTAATGAGTTATAAGGAAAAAAAGAAGCAAAAATTCAATATTACAAATTAACAAACCTTCCAGGAAACGTTTTTGTGAGGTGTTTGGTTTACCAACTATGCAAACGTCCTCTTGTTTGCCTAAAGTCCACAATGTCAATTATATAGTTAAGCAACAGGGGCCCAGTTGTTGCACCAGGGCCGCAAAAAGTCATCCACGTACAGTATATCTGAAAACTCCACTCGACGCACTGACAAACAAACTGACTGCACAGCAGTGTCCTTTTAGTGCATCCTGTCACGGCCTCTGCACAGCTGTATTTACCTCAGTGACGTCAGCCATTAATGACATACGGTCCAACACGCTAACTGTAGTCCATGGACATAACTGTGGTTACTGACCTGATGCCAGGTCACTATCAACATTTTCAACATTTGTCACTGTTTATACAACGCGAGATGATACAGACAGATGAGTTTTTACAACATCTATTTCAACCACACCAGCACTCGGGCTACATGTTTACAAAGGTCACACGGGTTAGAACGGCGTAAGTTGAGTTTACATGTGTAAAGTGTCCTAAATGGTTTCCCTAACAAATGTTTTACCACAGTGGGGAAAAACAGGTAGTCTTGGTAAATGTCAGTAAAAATACAATTTGGTCAAAGTCAAATCTATGAGCCAGTGTTATCTTTTTTGTACAAAGAGATGCAAACTATAACAGTACGTTCATGTTTGTACTCAACAGGTACTGCGTACCAAATTGGATATTTCTTGGGTTGTAAATGTAAATAACAGCTCAGTGGGAAATTAGGAAATGCACAGAGTTTGTAGGTGTTAGCGTAACCCGAAGCACAGGACAATGCTGTACCAGAAAGCTAAAATAAAACAATTCTTTATGTAATTGAAAAGAATCTTCAGAGATTAGACAATCAATACACTTTTAACCAATAGAAATAGAGAAAAGAGAAGAGAAGAAAAATCATGGTCCCTGCAGACTGTAATTTATGAAGCAAGACAAACTTTAATCAACGTTGTCTTCGGATGCTGACACATCCCCTAATATAGGATCGGACTGAGGTAGGACAAGAAATAAAACTTGCAAAATGCCCCTCAACGGCACATGTTTTGCAAGTATTGGAGTAAAGTATTGGAACACAGTCAACTTCAACCCCAAAACATCATATTAGTCACAATAACCATCACAATATGTATCTCAAATATACAAAGATGATCTCCTTCTCCTGCAACACGGAGTTGCTTGGACTCTTGGACTCTTTAGCTCTTAGGCAAACCACTCTCAGGGGCGACACATGACATGTGGACCTTCTGAGAAAAGCCAGACGCGTTGCTCCCATGCTCCTATGTCACCCAGAGCCTGCTTTTGGCGCCTGCGACACTAACACACTCATCTCCTTCCCTTGACTGCACAGGTCCAGACAGTGGAGTTATCAGGAAGATAGAAATAGTCATGCTTTGAAGTAACGGAAGAGTGAAACGCTCTGCGAGTACTCTGCAGAACTTAGAAATTAGTCACTGCCGGATTAGAAACCATTGAAGCCAGTGGTATCAGGTGAGACAGAACATGTCTTCTCAGAAGGCTTCATCCGTGAAGGAACAACAACGATGTGACATCGTGACCTGGACTGGACCCGATCAACGCTTCCATTTAACTGCATGTTAACTACGCTTAGAACTTCAATTATCTGTCCGAAGTCACCGGTAGCTTCAACTGTCATGGTTTAGGGCCAAGGGAATGAGAAGGCTGACTCTGCTCTGTTCCAAGGTCAATCATTTGTCAGGCGGTGAGGTGGAGGAACAGGAACCCGTTGGCAGGGAAACAGATTGCGGCAGATGAAAGACTGGCAGAAGGGATAAAGAAAGTTGTGTCAACTCGCTCTCATCAAGATGGATAAGAATAGTAACCTGATCTGACCGCCGGTCACACACAGCGGTTGCTTCCTTACATTCCTTGCATTGATTACTAGTTCCAGTAATCAAAGATGAAACTGTATGTGTTAAAATGGAACGCAGAGACGCAGCAGCAACTCATGGCTGCACAGAAAAATGCTGTTGCAGAAATGCAGTATATTCCGATAACTATCACTGACTGAGAGTATTTGCATTTCTCACAGTCCAGCTGACTACTTAGCTCTGCTGGACCAGTCTCAGTCTCAATGTCCTCAATGTACTATTGAGGACAGACCTTGAGGGAGCTTCAGTTAGGAGGCATGAATGTACTGTACCCCTGCCCTACACTAAATAAGTAGAGAAGCAAACTAGGAATCAATACGTCAATAAGGTACAATATGTGAGTCAACACTAGCAGCGTCAACTGCTTTATTTACATTTTTAAATGGGTTGAGACTTGCAGTGTAAATGACTGCTGTACACACTACAGCCCTGTAGGTGGCAGTAATTCACTTCAGTTAATTAAACAAAAACCTGATGACTGTCTGGATAAGAAAATGACTTTCGATAAATTGTGTAGCAAAACTTTTCTGATCACCAAATGACTTTAAGCCTACTGTGTGCCTCATCTTAGGGAAAGTGTGAGGAAGAGGAGTGAGGATCATGAGGGGCTACACTCCCAGGTGACAGCTGAGCTCTAACCATGGACAGAAA